TGCATACGGTACATTATTGCGGGCCTATGTTCTATGTCTTGCATGATTATATTCATTTACATATTTAGTTGTTTACTTAATAGTTAAAAAAAACCAAATAATTATTTAATTCAATCAAATTTATCCAACATTGGACGTTTATTTGTTTTATTTATTTATCTATTTAGAGGCACAACACATGAGCCAATGAGTGTCAATAGCGAATAATATATCACTGTCCTACGTGTAGATGACAATCCCTTACACAAGAAAAAACATACACACACGATGCTTTACACAAACTAAATCTCAATATCATAGGTTTAGGGAGTGGATTTTGGTTGTGAGAAAATATCCTGCAACACTGACGGGAATGGAGTCCATAGGGACACCCAATTTTTACAGGTAATTTGTTGAAAGGGCTTCAAGACAATCCTTTCAATTGATTCAAAGTCTTAAATAATTCAGAGCTTAAAATACACGGTGTTAATGCCCTGATATGAATCAATGCGATGATACGTGATCTTTGAGCTAATTAGAACGTGTTTCGATTATTAAGAATCTTTAATTCTTGAACGAAATTAGAGAAGAAACGGGACACTCGGAATGCAATACAACCGGGGAGGTGTAATGATGTACCCAAGCTGGCTTAGAATCATAAGGCTGTTCTAAACGTACAGCGCTCTTCAATGTTAGATTGTCATATTTATGCAATTAAACAAGTTGTAGTGTACCTTCTCTGATTCATTTAGTTCTTTCAAAAGCCATCTTGTAGTTCAAATTGCACATGCCTATTTTGTATTATATTTCTCATACATCCAACAGCAAACAACATCGCCAATTACGGGATACAGTAAAATACATTTTATTATATACCGTTTTTATTAGAATAAATACCCCACTGTGAATAAACATCCCCCGAATAAACGCACCCCTAGAACCTCATTTGGAATAAACGTCTAACTCGAACCCAGGCGTTTATTATTTTATCGTTTAAACTCCCCCTAAATGACTGTAAACAAATCTAATGGAAACAATATCATTCTATTCTCAACATATTCTATCAATTCTACTCCAGTAGAATTACATTTTTTTCAAAATCTGCTTGGGATCAATAAGTCTTTATAACACATTTTGTACCACACTGTTTGAAAAGCCTGGCTACGGCATTGTACACTAGTATACTTAGGCCTATTAGTTAATTATACTCCAACACACGAGCGTACGGATTGCTCCGAGTTCCTCTCTATTCATTGTTTATGTGAAAGACATGGGCTGATGTGTTCATAGGACCGGAGTAGAATTTTAAACAACTTTCCCAATCACTGTTCGTACACTTTCTATACAGGTTGAAGGAAGCAAAAACTGTCGAGTCTGAGTGTAATCGGCTAATTAAATAGGCCTATCTAAAAAGGGAAATTCAAAAGAGACTGGACAAGTACCAACTAAGGATTTGAAGCATATCGACGGATTAGCCTGCTGTTAATATGCGTGGGCGTGAGGTACACAGTCGAAGCCCCGGTGGAGTCGGCGAAACCACCAAAGCAAGAGGATTTTTGTGCTTTATGGGTCTAAGTAATGCTATATAAGCAGATATGTTTGAAAATGCCTGTGTCTGGGTGGGTCTGCAGTGCATTAGTTGGGTTGGAGGACTTATTTTGAAAATTTTAAGAGGGGGCTTCGCCAGAAAAGAGGGGGGGGGGCGGTTTGTTAGAAAAGGGGGATTCTCCCGAACCTGTCTCTTTTACCCCCCCCCCCCCACCCTGGATACGGGCCTGAGGCGCCAAACAGTAATGCAACAGTCTGTATACATTAATGGAGTTTAAATGGGAAAACGATTAATGATGTATAAAATAAATTAAAAGTTTCACATTCTGAACTACATTCTAGCCCTAAACAATCAAACACCGCCCTTCCAGGCCTACCTTTACCCGACTCACAGATTGTTCAAAACCCTGGCGAGAACACCGAATCGATAGGAATCAATAAGTGGAGCATTTTCTCCACAGCGAATGGTTATTTTTAATTTCTGTTTTGTATTTAGACAACACATTGCCTATCACGTTTCGAAATACATTTGTTCTCCTGACGTTCCACATGAGAACTGTACCGTATTGTGATACGAAATCTTTCATTCAATTATTTGTATCAGTTATGTTGAAATTGTGAACCTTTGATAATGACATGCGAATGGTAACCGTCAATCAGCCAACCTATTGTTGAATGGACAGTTGAGTTATTTTGAGGGCAACCTTTTCATATAAACTTAATTAAATTAAATGACACACTTTAAATGCACCCGATAATGTTATTACTGTTTTGAATTTGCAATATAAATCATTTTGATGGCAATATTTGCGCGAATAATTTAATTCCATCAATTGCCTAGTTAACCGTTAAAATTGTACACTCATCCATAGCTATGTAAACGTGTATTAATACAAATACTTACCGTATACGGTTATTCAATCAACTTGAAATGCATCTCATCTCTAAAATGCCAACACCCACTTGCGTTAAGGCACACGGAAATAACCATGGTTACTTACCGGTATTTCGGTAACATTAATGATCAATTAATGATAATAATATACTTATCATTTCTGTTCTCATTTTTAATTTGAAATAATTTTGAAAAATAAATATAATAAAATAATTATCGTTATCATTTTTGTTCTCATTTTTAATTTGAAATAAATTTGAAAAATTAATTATGACAATAATCAGTTTACATTTTATTCTATTATTTATTTCTTTTACAAGATACATGTATTTATTTTACAAATTATAATTGCAAAGCTATATATACAATGTGAATCAAACAGATGGATTTGATAAGCCTTAATAACAATGACTGCTGAGAATACATAACTGTGCAATATTTTATAATTAGAGCATAGTTTTAAATTTAATAGTGGAATCCCATAAGGCCTCATAAGGTAAAGGTATAAAACTTCCAAATAGTGCGCAACAACGATGCTTCAATTATGTGGGATTGAAGATGGTTTATATCTGGAGAGTACCCTCTCTATTATACAATACAAAAATAATTAACTATTTATAACTCTCTTTAACAGAAAATCCTAATTTACGTATTTCATGTGTCCCTCTCACGCAGTGAGCTCATAATTGACTAATTAATGTTGAACTCTCATTTGTCATTCCATGCCCGTCAAAATGTAACATCCATAGATCGCCGGTCTGTAATTGGCCGTAATTTAGCGCGTAGCTGCCTGTAGTAGTACGCGCAACTGTGACGCGCTCTCGTGCTACTTTAAAGAATACATTTTTTTGATCAATCAAATGTCTGTTATAGACATATCGCGATGTCATCCTCCAAGAATAGATGCATGTCTTCACAATCAGCGATCGTAATAACGTATTTGTGTGCGTGTGTGTAGTCATAAGATCAGTCTTGAAAATCCCATCGCTGACGTCATTGGTATTAATCAAAGCCTAGCAAATGGTTCTCGTCAAATATCGAACTCAAAGAACCGCTTTATCAACACAGTTTAGCATATGGACCAGATTCATCAACATTGTAATTTTGAAATGGTATTACAGTACTACTTCTAAGTTGTTACTATTTCGTTGCACAGATCCCTGTAGGCGAAGTATGGTAAATAGAGCAGACAATATCTTTGATTTGTTTTCTCGGTGTCATTAGGAGACACTAAAGTAAATTATACACGACTATTAAGATTAAATCAATTAATTGTCTAATTATGTCTTATAAATTAGTCCCGTTTTATGGAGCATTCGTAAATAGTAAAAGAGTATCGATCAGCCTCAACCTCGTTATCTGGTTCGCACTGGAATCCAATAAAATATCTGATCATTTTATGTGAGTAGGCCTAGATTTTTTTTATTTCTTTTACCGAACGGTACCTGATAGGCCTGTATCTTGAAAAATATAAGCAGATATTGAAAAGTTTGTGGAACACATTCGATAATATCATCATAATAATAGCGAGTACGGTATTAAAAATAGAATTTCTTATCATCCTTGTACTTTTAATCACGTGACTTTATTAAAATTGTGGATGGTTTTAGATTTCATTTGATATGAGCCGTAGGGGTTGTCATATATTCCTTTAGGGTACACAGGTGCATCCAGTATACGGACAATGAACTGAGTCCAGTCGACAACTTTAAGTTGTTTACTAAACTTCTCTCTAACTTGAACTACAGACTCTACGGCAGTCCATTACCTCATAAATATGACAATAAAAATGCCTATTAAATACGCTTTACGTCATCATATATGAAAAGAGAACGAAGCCAAATTGAGTGATTTTAATGAGCCCAGCTGATGGGACCCAGTTGGTAATATTTCTGGCCTATAATAATTTAATGAGAGAAGTAACTTTCGTCGATGTCGAATGGAAACCAGAAGGGAATTCTCATCAACGAATGGCCATGTAACGACGCTTGATGAAAGCGAATGTAAATAAATTTGGTGGTAATGTTTTCCTATGTAATCTACATAGAAAATGACAACCGAGATGCCACCGTACCAGGCCAGCATGCAACAACCTATCAAAGGAGGCAGTGGTGGCAGATAGGCTTAGGCATTATATGAGAGAAAGCTGATGACACTACAAGGGGCTCAGTCTGATAGTCCTAAATTCCGTAGGGGAAAGCGGTGTCGGGGTTGTCCTCTTCTGAGACGTTTTAAATCATATCTGACGTGACGGGTCGCGGAAGACGAGGGGGATATGACCTATCTGACGGATAATCGGGGCATTGCCCTGCCCTTGGCTAGTGCCGTAGACCTTGTAGTCTACCTGAGACCTAAACCTGGTGACTATGGATGAGGGATATTAGCAGTCGAAAGAAGGTAAAATGAGAATTTTCCAGGGGGTCAGTCGCTTGGAGGTCCAGCTCGAGTTATCTAAGTAAAGGCCACTGATGACACCATTCAACTTAAATTAAATTTTTATTAACATGCTAATGTTAATAATTATGTGCATACAATTAAAAAACTGAAATTTAAAACGGACTATAATTATCTTTTACAGGGAGTGATAGTTCATCAGCAGAAGCAAGACTTCGGGAGACACTATTCAGGCATTATAACAAACTCCCACTTCCGGTCAAGAATGCCACTGACCGCCTGGACATCATGTTCGACGTGTATCTCCAACAACTCATTGATGTGGTAAGGCATCACACACAAACAATTTTTTTTAAAATATTCATAAATCCATATCAAAATAGCCGGCCCTACATTCTTAATATTTGTCCCCCCCCCCACCCCGACAGTATTATTGAGAACTTGACATTTTTTTTACTAAACTAGGCCAATGCAAGTTTGTATTCGGTCTGACACTAAAAACAGCAATAAAACTGAAAATCAAATTTGGAAAGAATTTGAGACACATACCTTCATGGTCAGAGACTAATTTAGGGATAAAACAACAGTTTTATGAGAATAATAATATTGCAATTTGAATGACAAATTCGAATGCACATCAAGCTCTAAGCCAACCGTCAGCGCAAAATACTCCGAACATTGCATTACACGATCACCGGATACGGTGCAAAAATAGCATATTTATATTTCGAAATTGTTCCATTCTGTACCCAAGCTCTTGTCCAGGCGTTCATGGCCCTATCGTTTTTTAATTAAACAAAAAAAAAAAAAAAAAAAAAAAAAAAAAAAAAAAAAAACCACAAAACATATTAAACAAAAAAAAAAAAAAAAAAAAAAAAAAAAAAACACTATAGATGGGAAACGTGATGCATTAAAGTAAATCGGGTTGTTTTTGTGTAATTTAAAAACTACGTTGCAATACAGAAAAAAGTAGAGAACTCTGACTCTGCCATGTCTTATAACTTAACATTTGTAAATTGCACCATACATGCAATAAAAAATGAGCTCGCGTTAGTTGACCATTGAACTTCCAAAGGAATCTAGGCCGAGAAATGTTAAGCGATTATTCGTTGTGTTTCAGTAGTTTAAATTGTTTGTGGGCCTAGTAGCCTATTACCGCGTTTATCAGCCCTGATGGGCATCTTTTTCCAATTGTTATTTGTTAGCTACATGGATAATCATACTGAAATGGGTATAAACGTATTTGTAGGCCCTATATTTTTAACGGGATATACATAAACGGTGTTTTGAGCCAAAAACAGATGAACGGCAAATATTTACGGTACATTCATCAAATCTTCAATTATCAAAACGGATGACCAATGTAGCACAGATTCCCCCTCGGGATACATTGTGTATATCCTATGCTGAACGTACCATGATTAAACTTTGGAAATGATTAAAATACTGAACTCTAACGAAGAGTAAAACGAAAATATGAGATTCAAGTTTATTGTGTTTTTCAGTGTAATGAAAAACACGTTTTCACTACCATAGTTTTTTTTATAAACTTTTGTATCGGCCACATTTTCTGTGTATATATTTGAAGCACCGACTTTTTCCTACCCTCTGCCCCAGAGTGTCGCCCCAGCCTACCTAAAAAGTGGCCTATAGGTTAATTATCTTTGTTAGGTAAAAAGTTAAAGGCAGGATAATTCAAACCCATAACATTGTTGAGGGAAGATTGTGTAAAATTACGTACACTGTTATTTTGAAGGAGTTATTTTAACTCGAAAGGAGTTATTCTGTACCTTTTTTTAGGTACAGAATAACTCCTTTGGAGTTAAAATAACTCCTTCAAACAGTGTAGGCCTACAATTTCGAAGAGTGGCTGTAGACTAGACTCGCTGGTCTAAACTTAAAACGATTTCTTTTTCCCGTGATGAGAAAAATTCATTGCCATCTGCGACATTTATTATTCCATAATATTATAAACACAGTATTTATTCCTAAAATAACATAGACTCAAGGTCAGTACGTATTAACAACACCAAACAATCTGTTATTATTTGAATCGTAGACGAAATTGTTTATTTAATTGAAAAATATAACCAGCATCTGTAACGTGTGTAAACACGCGATATTTTGACATTGGTGTTGATATTGATATTCATCCGCCGTCTGAATCTCGATCCTGAACAAATAGTTTTACAATAGAAACAGCCTATCTAAACACCGGCACATGCATCCCGTGAACTTTTAAGGACAGGTTGGGGGCGGGTTTTACTTTCGATGTCCGTCCATAAATCTGTTTTTTTATAGACATGAAGCTGTTTACCTTGAGCTAAAAAACATCAACAATAGAATTTATAATTGAAAATGAAGACGACAAAATATTTTCCTTTACTTAAATAACCTCGTTTCTATTTCATGGGCTTAGAGTCTCACTCATTCAATATAATTATTCATATAGAAAAAAATATGTGGGAAAAAATCGAATTGTTTCGATTGGTGTCTGGGAGACTGATAACTTTTATGATCTATTGGCCTATTGACAACGCCTTCCTCCTCCTTGACGCTTCTCTACAGCACATAAAGTACTGTAAGTAAACAGTGGCGGATTAAATGGAGGAGGTGGGGGAGTATAAACAAAAAATTGGAAAAAAAAGAAGATTTAGAGTGCCAGTTCCGGCTATGTGCCATAATCATAAATTGTATTACTTCAGCCCTAACTATTGTGGCGCTGAGATGGTCTAGACCCTGCCACCTCTTGAATATTATGACATGCAGCATCAAACTTCAAATAACTACTTCTTAGGTTGTTTTTATTTACTTTATTTATTTACTTACTTTCTTGATCCTGGTACTCTGAATCAAAGTTGGAATATGTCTTTAAAATGATGAACTTACCTTGAAATAATTTAATAAGAAACCAGGTAATTAAAGCTATTAGTTAACGTCATTCACGTCAATTGAAGAATGACTTGTATTTTATTATCTGCTGTAAGGAATGGGTTGATCATCGGCTTAATTGGGATGTTAATGAGTATGATGGAGTGTCAAGTATCATAGTACCAACCAGCATGATATGGACACCGGATATTCTGATTTACAACAAGTAAGTGCGATATTGTATTCATTCACCATGGCAACAGTATACCTTTAATGTAGTATTAGAAATTGATCAAATAAATAATGTTTCAGAAGTTCCACTGTATCATTCCTGTAGACTTTTTATTTTTATATTTTTTAAAAATTTAAAACATCTTTACCCAGGATACCTTTTCAGGCAGATGTTAATGCCTGTTTTTAACAATGGTCCTGCACAATAATTACAATGAAAAAAATACACAGTCTACACTAAACAATATACAGTTAAGGTAATATAGAAAAAATATTCAAAAAATTCAAGAATCAAGATCTCCAAAAATACAATTTTTACAATAAACAGTAAAACACCAACAAAGAAGAATACATTATTTCACAATAAAATTGTAAAACAATCAACAAAGCACACATTTCATTTGATTACAATTGTTTTTAAAAATCAAAAATACTAAAGATATTAAAAAATTACGGTACGTAAATCAAAAATACTAAAGATATTAAAAAATTACGGTACGTATCGAACGAACACGAAAAATGTGTATTATGTATCTTTATAGGCTTATATGTATGTGTATATGTATGTTTATAGGATTATATATACATTACATATGAATATATATAGGCCTACATATGCTGTTACCTGTACAAGCATATAATATATGTATTTGGCATGTAGGTCCTATATAGAAACTCAATACCGTAGTTAACTGTAAGAAACCTCTGATATATTATTTTTGTTTCAATGACTCAAAACTCGTTGGATGAAATCATTCCCAACCATGAAACTTGGCATAGGCCTATATTTGGTATTCCAATATATATATATATATATATATATTCTGAATGTTATTGCTAGATTGCTTATATGTATATACTGTATATTAATCCACAGTGCTTACGGACCCTTCCACATTCGGTACGCATCAAATGCTACCATTAACAGTAATGGGACCGTGCGTTGGCTCGTACCGTCAGTCTACAAAAGCGCTTGTCGGGTAGACGTGCGCTTCTATCCTTTTGACGAACAGAAATGCCAGCTGAAATTTGGTTCTTGGACCTACAATGGCCTAGCTATCGACTTATTACCATCTCAAAACCCAAATACCTCCAAAATCCGCTTCTGGCCCAACGATGAGTGGGAAGTGGAACTTTCGCTTGGAACGCGTAATGAAAAGACATACCCGTGTTGTCCGGAACCCTACATCGACGTAACGTTTACGATTTCCTTGCAGCGAAAACCATTGTTTTACGTTGCGTACTTGTTACTCCCATGCGGGCTCATATCATTTAATACAATCCTTGTATTTTACCTTCCTGCGGATTGTTCGGAGAAAATGCAACTTTGCACGTGTATCTTACTGTCAATGGCGGTGTTTCTACTGCTCATCTCGCAGCAAATTCCCGCAAACGCCAACAATTTGCCGCTTATTATGAAATATTTGCTGTTCACTAAAATAATTGTCACATCTTCTATTGTACTGACGACTTTTATACTAAATATGAGATTTAGAACGCCCGAGACACACGAGCTTTCGAAGTGGCAAAAGCGGGTATTCTTGGATATTTTTCCTAAGTATTTGAAAATGCGCCGTCCAAACGCATTTTACGCACGGTTCAACCATTCAGAGTCTTCCGAAATAAGAAAAGATAGCATTAAGCTGTTATCATCAAGGGTTGCCAGCATGCTAGCACCCATGTTGGTGACGGAGACATCGTGTTCAAAGCCCGACGACGAAGCCGATGAGAGAGCAGAGAGACAAGGTAAGCTTATAAGATTCATATTATTAGAAGGTATTATTATATTTATACCAATCGTATCAAAACAGATGTATCATCAACATCAGAGACTGCAAGCTATACGGTAGCGGATATTAACCAAATACTATAGAGATTTCTGTTTTATGGCAACACAAAATATCAGGCCTCCGGTACATATTATTTTTCCATCCACTATTATTCTAATTTTAGATTTAAAGTCATAGCATCCATCTGTCATGAGCTAGCTAAGAAACTTAAAAATACAATTCAACATTTAAATTGCTTATTTGTGATTAATTATTTTCATTTAAAAATGAGAATTCGAAAAAAAAATCATCACTAGTTAATGGATATATTAGGCCTAATTTTATTCTTTTGTTTAGACCCTTAAAAATTAGATGGGAATCAATTTAAAGATTTTGTGGTAATTTTAGCAATTTCAAAACAAAATTGTGTAACAGTTTAGATTAATATTAATAACACCTCTAAAACTGCGGCGTCGCTGTGACGTTGCTGATGATGATTAGGAAAATACCCAATAACAACAGCACTTATAATTGAAATTATGTCAATTGACATCATCAAAACAATGCACCAAACCAACTGTAACTATCAATCGATTTACGATTACAAATGAATAAAGTCCGGTCTTTAGTATAGTTAGATAGTTTAATCTGTAATTTTGATTGGTTCATGTGGCGGACAATGAATAATATTCATCACTTGTTACGAAGTTCAATTAACTCAGTAAAAACAATAAATGTCTCAGTTGATGGGAGGAAGATGTCACGTTTTCAGGTCATAAACAAATGAACTCCGGTATTATAGATAGTCCTACAGTATATAATTTTCACGGAATAAATGGCTAAAATTAAAAGCCCATGGAACCACTACTACCGAAGTTATGACCCAATCGGTAGAAGAGTTTCTATAAGTTTAAATGTTAAAGTTTTGTGTCATATAGGAAATATTTCGCGTACATAAAAGAAAGAGTGGCGGATTCAAGGAGGAAGCCGGCCCGCAATCCAACCCCCTCCCTTAATATTTCAAAATTATAACAAAAATGGAACAATATAAAATAAATGACAGCAGCACTTTTGAGACTAACAATATAGAATTTATTCTCTAGCTTCGTCCACATAGTGGACTCGATCACAGTCTCCACTGTGTGGACGAAAGCTAGAGAATAAATTCTATATTGTTAGTCTCAAAAGTGCTGCTCTCATTTATTTTATATTGTTCTATAACAGACTAACACTTTTTATTCATCATAACAAAAATGGAGAAAAATGTATTAATATTTAAGTCTGAATGTGCCATTTCCGGCCATCTAGAGGTGCCATAATCATAATCATAATAACCATGATGGGGCTGAGGTGGGTGGACCCACTACCTGTGAAAGTCCCTTCTTGGGCCCCCTCTATTTCGAATTCCTGGATCCGCCATTGAAGAGTATGGAACTTGTTGTTTATTAAGCAAGGTATTTGTATAACCCCGTGGCAGGCCTTCTTATGGGTTCATCTACCGCACTAGATCGACAAGCCTAAGGCATGGAGATTTGTATCTACACACCGTACATCTAATAGAATCAAACCGAATTGTGAGATTCCAATTATTGTATCTACTGACGTAGTTTGTGCTCAAATACGTACATGTAATAATAAAAGTCGTAATAGATATTATGTATGTAAGATCAAATAATTTTTTTACTCATGAAAAATGAAAAATATAACTAGTAGATCTACAATACAGACCACGACGACCGCTAGCTGTCTCTTATACACATCTAGATGTGTATAAGAGACAGGTATTCTGGCTGTGGTGGGGTGGGGGCGGTTGCTAGTGGGGAAAGTTTATTAGCCTACGAGACTGCGTTCTATAGTCAAAACACAAATGTATCATGTTCGATTTTTTATACCGGCATGGTTGTAGTTTCTTCTCTTCAAACAAATTCCTATTCCTGTATTAATTACAATTTAAATATTACAATTACAAGTATGCACTGCATATTGCTTGCCTTTACGGTTCGCCATTGATATGTGGGTGTGTGTGTACCTATGATTGGATATGGTCTATTTACTCCACAAAAAATATGAAGTGGTATTTGTGTTGAAATGGAAATATTATGCAATAGTCAAATTATTAAGAAATATGGGGTATTGGTTTTTAGCGTCACATGTTTAAATATAAAGATGCATTAAAATTATTCCCAGTCAGTTCCCAAAAAAGTTAGTACATAAAACGCTGTACACATTTAATGTAATTGCTCTAATTTGAATATCCACCATACAGGTAAATTTACACGACTGAAAGCATATATTTCCTGGGCGGGAGATAATAATCATAATAATGATGATGACGGCGATGAGATGATGACAACGACGACGACGACGACGATGATGATGATGATGATTATATTAAAATTGTACGCCCTGTCCTCCAGGTTATTAACCCATATTGCGATTATTGTAAACAGTTGTCCTTGTTTTATTTATGATTTTGTTATTAAGCTGTGCCAATAGAAATGCACCTATCTCATTGTGACGCTTTAAGGGATGTAGTTGAAGGTTTTTAAGTCCGTAACTTGAACTAGACACATCTAATACTTTCTGACAATGCAAGGGACGCGCGTTAATTGAAATTCTGTGGGGCAAGAGGCAACTAAATTTGAAATACCGGTATACATTCTGTTATACGATCAGCAGCATTATGAAAGCAGTAAATCATCCGTAGGCCTATTACAGAACCCCGAGCTCATAAGCACGTAATCATGTCAATAGAGAAAATAATTAATTTGGTATACTCCAAATATTCTAATTCGGACTTTATATAATAAGCGTGATGAACTCTTTCACAGCCATGGGGACCCGTAAATTAAACAAACATTATTTGGAAAGTTTGATAATTAAAGCTTAAAAAATTATTATATAAAATTTATTTTATAATTACTGTATATATTTCAGTCAAATATAAAAATAAAGTTTTGAGTTTTTCGTAATACGGCCGCTGCGTATATTGTTTGTTGAATTGCTTTGTGACAACATTTTTGTATGGAATGAGCATGTTGGTTAATGCATGGAGGAAAATTTTGTTACGCGTTATAAGCCTAAAGCAGCCAATAAATTATAGAGAACGAATAGATATAAAATAAGTTAAAAGTCCTGAGAGAATTATTTCAAATAGCAAGTAAATGACTGTTTTAACTTGAGTTGATGAATATAGATGTGTAAATTTACTTTATGTACAGTAGTAATTGATCGTCACAGTTTAAAATAGCAGATTTATTTTATTTAAACATTTAGTCCATATTCTACACAACCGATGTTCTTCGTTTCAATCAATTTTTTTTTTCAAATCCCGCTTGCTTTAGTCGTAATGTCTTGAAGACAGCTGACTCATCAGAAATGTGCGTTAAGTAGTAAAATACATTTTGTTAGTTTTATCATGGAGGTATGGTTGTATGTATTTCGTGTGTATAGAGGAATGTATAATTACAAACATTCTCTCATTCTCAGTCGTATTATGAACATAAAATTCAATACGTGACAACATACAGTAAAACCTTGTTTTCTTAAAATCGCTACACTGTCGCTACATCGTTTTAAGTGCAATCGTTGTAGCAGTCCCCGACTCAATCGGTAACTTGCTTCCCGATTCGACCGACCAATCAGCATCACCGAAAACTGTCGGCGATAGGGTGTAGCGATTGTATGGAGACCAAGCTTAACTTTAAGTTAAACAAACGCTTTCTCAGCTTGTTGAAATGTCGAATGTTTACTCCATAGGCTTACTGAACAAACCTTCTAGTTTGGGACATAGTTCGATGGAGCCTAACGTTTCCACCAATGCATACATTAAAGACGTTAAAGATTCTGTTAATGATATCGTTTATATTACATCTCAGTATGCATTCACAGAGGAAACGTGCAAGGTAAGTAATCACTTGAATGTTTTAAGTTGAACGAGTAATGTGAAGGAATGAGGGCGCAACATTGACAATCATACGCGACAAGTTCAATAAATTTATTATTGTTGTTAATACTACTACTATTACTGTTATTGTCATAATAATTGTCATCATCATAAAATAATTATCATCATCATCCTCATACTTATCCTCACCGTTACCATTATTACCATCATCATCATCATCATCATTATCATTATTATCATCGCCATCATTGTCATTATTATTATTATTATTATTATTATTATTATTATTATTATTAATATTATTATTAATATTATTATTATTATTCTGTTACTATCTAGGCTAAAGAGGAATGGAAATACTGTGCTATGGTCTTCGATCGTATTTTCCTTATTATTTATCTTTGTGGCGTCTTCGTTGGAACAGTTGTCATCATTTTGGAAGCGCCCTTAGCCACATCGTTCTTCACAGAACAACTGTGGACCTCTCAGCAGTCAAATTCAAGCTCTGTATGAACCAAACCGTCGCTCAAAACCCTTTTGTAAATCACGTTTTGTGCGCACGTTCCATGCCGTGCATGTGCATGTCTTTTGCTTTTTACACGGTACGGAATGGTATCTTATTGGTACAAGAAATAACGTATAATATTATATTCTCGATGGATGTTTCCTGAGATACACATATGCATATGTTAACGAGAAAGAACCAATTTTTGTCTCAGGAGAGTGTAACTAAGACATTGCGACAGTATCTATGATTAAATTTGATAATTCAAAATTGTTTTGAACATGATCGTAGAAGCAGAAGCAGGAGACATTGAGCTCATATCAATGCCATTACATCACTGAAGTGTAACAGGACTTCCTTTTGTGTTACACATTAGTAAACTTAGTTTAGACTTAGGCCAAGATCTTCAGGCCAATTGCTATATATTTATATTTATAACTAGTAGATCTACAATACAGACCACGACGACCGCTAGTGTGATAATGAATGCAACTAGTATAAGCATTACCGGTATGGGCTTCACTTGAAGTTTTTGTTTTGTTTTGTTTTTAATTACGTGGTGTAATTGAAAAAAAAATCACGTACAGGACTAGTAGGATGCATGATCCAAGTGCATCACCCCACACATCACGCAACTGTGAAGGCCTACACTTTGATACCATGATAGCACTTCTATCTGCCGCAGTTTGACATAAACCTACGTATAAGTTGTGCGCGTGTATGATTAGTGCTGCACGTAAAGAAATCGCATTATTTCTCGTGTGACGGATGGTGGTCACAGTTGCGTAGGAATTGCTGGACGCCGTAAACGTACGTACACGTACGTTTTGAGGCACACGTACGTGTCTTTGTGGACAAGCGCGTACTCTTAGCAATCTTTTGATTGATCATTTGTTAAGTTTGATTGAGAGTCGGAGAAAGTCCATTGCTCTAGTCTGAACCAAGTCTTACTAATCTCTCTGAACCCAGACTGAATGTAATTCTTAGGAAAAGTTAATTTATCCAATTATTAAGTTATTAGTTCATTATTCCTGTTTGCTCAAAGATGTTTGGATAAAGATTGACCTCAGACGCGTGCGAAACAAATAGAATAAAGGTTTATGCAGGCGTGACAAATATGCAATTCATTTGCAATAGAAAATAGCAGCCATCATCTCATTGATGGCCTAGCGTTGTCCACACGTAGGCCTATGATATAAATAGTTTTGATCCCATTTTTGTGACGTGGGTGCGTGTCTTTAGTTCGTGATGTACGTGAAGAAAACGCACGTAATTAATACTCATTTCTACGCATGACTGATAATGGTCGCGCGTAAGACATTTTGTCTACGACTGGGCACGTATAGGTATAACATGATATCGAGAAAATGAACTTGTTACAGCATACTTCGTGGGGATGAATTATATTAACGTTGTCATGCAAAGCTTTCCCCTGCATAACATGAATTGTTTGCGATATCCATTACGCATCATCGGTCAAAACAGACGATGAAGTAAATCCCTTCAGCATTCTGCTTGCTATCAACCCCTATCTGATTCCTTCATCTGTCCCTTGATCGTGTTTCTATCCCTTGATTTTTAAAAACCGTCAAATTTATTCCGTTGGGTTTATCAGGAGAATACGTAAATGACTAAAAATGACAGGTCAGTTTGACAGTCAAAACGTCAAACGACATGAAAACCATATCAATATTGGTGGCATTACAATTCGATAAATATAATGAGCAGTGCATGGACTGTGAGCTCACTTACCCACGTCATCAACATTTTTTCGTGCGCAATATGCTTACAAGATTTGCTTGACACTGGACGGTTCACATAGCGTTTGAATTCCGGATATTTCAGATATAGGGGCTAATAAATTGTAAAATAACTACTGGTATTGCAAAAGTAGGCCTACCCATACCGTGAATAATAATTGCCGCTGTCAAACAGTACCGTAGCAAACGCTGTTTTAATTATTCGTCGCTTTCGAAAAAGAGTCGCGACTGGCCGGGCACTCACTGTGCGGAGTTGGATTCGGCGGCCAACGGTCGTACGACGCAGTAAGTGCCAGGCTTTAGAGTCAGCGTGCTTTGATATTTTAGTAGCATTGTGAACGATGCGCATTAACACAAATCAAACGATTGTTGTTCTGTGTGATAATTATTTCAACCATCAAAATAACGCGCAAACTTTTGATGACGTAATCAATGGTTTGGTATTCAACACTTAGGTATGATTGAGGATATTCTGTGTATTTAGGCCATTTTATGAACGTTTCATTTATATTAATTCTTTTACAGATGGTTTCATTTTTTTAAACAAAGATCTTCCATTTAAATATTACTTTAAAAGTCCGCTATTCGGGTCTTCCGTTTATATATATATTTTTTGTTTTTATCTAGCATCTATTTATTCATGTCATAAGTTCTATTGGTATTGAGTTTAAACTATTTTTATCAAATCTATCTAAATATCCTTTTTAAATATAGGCCTATACTGTTTGTGTTGAGCTAAATTCATATGAATATTTGAAAGGCTCAGGCCTGTATAGTACACTAAGTTATTGAGTAAGTTGAGGCAGGCAGGGCCTACAATTAACATTCTATTTTCCTTCATAGGCTCTTAAATTGAAATTAATTTAATAAATTGATTTTTGAGGTTATTTTTTTAGATTTCACTGCAGACGGTAAACATTCAAGTAAATATTCTGATTCATTTAGTTGTATTTCAATAATAATAATAATAATGATAATAATAATAATAACAATAATAAGTAGTAATAAAATCACATTGGCCTAATAAACTTGTATTGAGTTGAAAAAAAACTTTGCTTTCATCATCATCATCATCATCATTCATCATCACCATCTTCTCCTCATCATCATTATATTATTGTATTCTAATTAGTCTTCCATTTTTACATTCATCAAATTCATCTGAATACGGAAGATAGGCCAAATAATTTTAAAGATATTTTGGAATGAATACATTATAAATATTATAAATTAGGAAATTTATCTGTCCCACTTTTAAGTCCCCTGTATATGATACCACGTTTTAATGCGCAATTAATGTACGCGCAGAATATATATTGATAAACGAATGAATTTATAAATAAGAAGGCACAGTGAGTTAAGATCTACTTATCACGAATATTATTACTCCCGGGAAAATAAATAAATCTTAATAAAAAGAAATGTGAACTTTTTGTTTTTCCAATGAACTGTGTCGCCGCGCTTGGTTCATTAAGGGTAAGATAATTTAACTGTAATGATGATGATGATGATGGAGATGATGATGAATAAGATGATGATGATGATGATGATGATGATGGAGATGGTGATGATGATGATGATGGGGATGGTGATGATGATTGTGGTGGTGATGGTGATGTCGTTGACGATGATGAAAAACATGACGAGGATGATGACGTCTAACATATAACCAGATTATCAGCAAGTCATCAAAGTAGTGTAATTTTAGTTTATTCCATTCATATCATAACCGGCAGCCACAAAACAAATCTGCACTAATGGGTTGGAGAAATTACCAGTTGGTTTAAATTACGCAAGGATTCGAAATTGGCAAGCTATCGACCGATTGCTGGGGGCACGGTGAATTAACTGAATGTGAGGGTGACATGCGCGTGTACCGCCTTGCGGACGAATTTGTCGGAATGTCGAGATTCCTATATGCCATGCAGTCAATCCATACACAAGTTTCCTAAACACATTGCACTTAAGCAAGTTACAATCTAACCATGTCATTCAACATTTGCTCACCTGTGCGCTGCGGACAGGTGGGAAAATATGCGATTCCCAAGCGGGAAACCTCAAAGTAGCAACCGAAGGGTCACAGCGCAATACTTGTAAATACTCGTCGGGATAATTATGGCAATTATGTGAGCCACGCTCTTACTAGAAACATAAGTAATGTTTAAATATCACGTTGAGACATTTAAGATTGTTGTCACATGAATTCGATCAGATAAAACGGAGGGCGTAAGATACCAGTGGCCTATAAATGAGTCTTGAAATGTGTGTGTGGTGGGAAGATGCTTTCCGGTGGGGGGGGGGGTGAAGTGGGGTATTGCGCTGTGGTCATGTAAATTTGAAGGATTTCTAACGTTCGTGCTATTATATGAAGCAGACACACCTCCTAATAAGGACTTACTTTATACCTCCTTGCACCGAATAAAACAAACAAAACGATATTCTTAAAAACATGCCTTACATAGTAGACCTATGCTTTAATTAACTGCGAACTGCGCATAGTGGTAAATGTGGTTACGCGGTTGGTTCGCAACTATAGTGCAGAGAGCTCTTCATGATGTTTATTTTCAGCAGGATTTAGAAGCATGGATTCCCCCGCCCGAAATTAATTAGGACGACGTCTAATATAAAGAGGTACTTCACAAACGCATTAGCGTCCAGTCGCTCATACATATTTGGAATATAACATAACTGGAGCATAACGATACTAACATCGCATAAACGAGCCACACATTCTCGATAAAATTAATGGTGACGCACAACTATCAGCAAACGAAATTGGACCACACCCACGGTATGGCATTTCCTCAATATTAATTTTTTTCCCTCAAAAATAATGCTTTGTATAGAAATAATAACAACAACAATAATTTACTGAATAGTTCTTTTTTGGTGTACACGTGGTGTACCGCAAACATCAACATATGTGTTATTACTTCGCCATGCAAACTTTCGACCGATTACAGATGTCAGAAAACTGTAAATTAATTTTAAACAACACATTCAAATGATTCTTGGTAAATTTATTGCATATGACTGTACTTGTAATGAAGTAAATTAATCAAACTGAAATTTGTTCATAATAAATTTGTCAAAATGCAAACAGTTGTGACATAGTCAGTTTGTTAATACAAATGATAAGTCTACATTTTCTAATGGTTATCATTATTCGAAATACATTCGTTTCAACGTATATTGAATTGCGCTAAATATCAAACTTGTACAGTAGTAAATGTGATTGTTTAGTACTGTAATTTACTTAAAAATAGAAACATAAAGTATAGTCATTTCAGCAGATAATTGTAAATTTGAACAAAAAATATGAATGATGATACACCACTATATACATTAAACATAAATTGTACATCAATACAATAACAATAATACACCATCGAATTAAATTATATTATACAAAGAAAAAATATAACTTATATTAATGATATCTTCATACATCTTCATGTATTTATAATTTGATATAAATTGGTTTGCTTAACATACAGGATATAATTCTAGAACTATTATTATATTTTATAATGTGGCGTTCCTACTCGATGACTTAATCCCATACAAGATGCGTCACAGGCTTCCTATACACTCAATGTGAAATTTCTGCTGTCTCTCTATGAACTGAAATTAGAATACAGGTGTCCATCCCGTTCAAGATCACTTTTGGGGCCAGGGTTTACCTAGTCTTTAGCAGCTTTGGTCTCTAATTATAAAAATAATTATCATAAAAATAAAGGATAAGTATTTATCCTGATGCCGCAGAAAATTGGTCTTTAATTAGAAGTGGTCTTTAATTGGAGGGAGATAACAGATACATAAAAATAAATATTTTTACATGAATAATTCAAGATATATTCTTTTCATTTAAAATGGTAGCTAAAATTATCAGTGAGAAATAATATAATTCTCTTCAAAAATATAATAATTTATATAATACTGTGTATATAGTAATATATATATATATAATTTGCCTGTAAATATTTACATTGAACATAAATGACCAGAGCCAGTCACTCAAATAACACACTGCAAAAAATATAAAAATTAGTAAGACACATGAATGATATAACCTACTGTAGTAAGTTTTCATAAATTAAAACTTACACAAATTAAATATTTGTTAAGAGAGGACTGAGGAATATGTTTATTAAAATATTTATGGTAGCTACCTGAAGAAAAATCACCCCCACCTTTGATAATATTTTCAATTAAAATGTTACATGGGAAAACAAAACAGAACTTGAAACTAATGAAAAATCACAGGAAAAAATGCATCCAAATTACCCAATGGAAGACAAAAATCCAATAAACACCTCATAGTGAACAACAATTCATTATTTAATTAAATAATTTAGTTTTCTTCCCATCAATATGAGAAACTTAAAAAAAATCTATTAATAATAATAATAATGGTCGACTTATAGAGCGCATATTGTGGAGACCTCTATCTTGCACTTAACATAAAAAACAAGAAAAAAACAAACAAACAAAATTCACCAAGGAAGTAATACTTAATTTAACCCTAAAGACATGTTAATCCTACTCCTTAAATCACTATTAACAGTAAGTGACATATGAATGAATGAATGAATCAATCAATCCAAAGAAATAAACACTATCGTAAGAGGGATGAATAATTTAAATATTAAAACATATTTTCATGTATTCACATTAAATCAACTTCACATTAATATAGGCTACTATATGTGTTGATCAACCAATAAAGCAATCAATCATTCGATAAGACAAACATTTATAATGCACTATTCACCTAATGGGATGAATAAACTAAATATATAATACTACTGGAGGTTGTGGGTTCGGTTCCCACCTGAATCACTTGCCATTTTTTTTCACAAGTGTCTGAGCATTCAGTATGATAATAATGTCAGGTAGAGCAAAACATCATTCCTATTAAATTTCCTGATGCAACACCATAAATAATATTCTAATAAAGTTATTTCTAATAAAATAAAATTAGGGTAAGTACATAGCAATAAAAATGACACACAGAATGTAATTTATCAAAAATTTTATGTAATTGCCCTGTATGACTGACCCGATGAGCGACTCTATCAAAGCTAACAATCCTTATAAGGAAATGTAATCACATTAACAAAAGTGATACGTATCGAATATTGCATTTCCTTTCAACTTGCAGTGTGGTGAAGGAACACAGTAACATTTGTAAAACAATAAATCATTTTGACTTAAAGAGACATACAAAACAAAATCAAACATACTATTTATAAATCATCAAGCTGTTTGTCTGTTTGAACACCTTAGAAAGATTTTTAAGATAGAAAGATACTGTGGATGAGTGGTCAATCGAATTGTTGATACATTTCTGTAAAAAGCTTTGCAATGTGTCTGGTATTTTAATGTGAAGATATTTTAAAGAAGATCTAACTGAGTTGATCTGTTCACTCTGGATTTACCAGCTGCAGCGCTTATGGGTTATTTACTGTACTTGTTTTTTCTATAGATAAGCGATAAAAAAATAAAAGACAGAAAAATAATCACCGTGTGGTTCCAGAATGAAACATATGCCTATGAGAGATGACCTTCCATTATCAGTGAGCTGGATGAGTTTCCTAGAAACATATTTCCAACTAAAATACTTTTAAAAATGATCTCACATAAATCATTGTTCTCTCATCTACTATTGACTCCAAATCCTTTATGACATTCTCTACATCCAATTTACATTTTCAATCTATTTTGTATTTTCATGAAATTTATTCTAAACCATAAATGTAAACCGGTGCCTTTGCCTTGAGCAAGCTAATCACAATAAAAAATTATGAAATATTTAACTCCTCTAGGGAGCTTGTATGTGCTGTTTGTTTTTCAAAACATAACAAAAAAATTGAATGAATAATATAAAGCTTGGTTTCCATAAAAATGCTACACACTATCGCCGTCTCCACTGGCGATGCTGATTGGTCAGTTAAATCGGAGAGCGTTCCCGATTGCATCGGGGACAGCTACGGAGTGCAAGGATTGCAGTGAAAATGCTGTAGCGACTGTGTAGCAATTTTATGGAAACCAGGCTTTAAGTGCTTAGAAGCTTTGTTTGCAAGACAAACACATTATAACATTTTTACGGGAATTTAAAGAGTTTAAACTTAAATCATCTGAACAAGGAGTCAATTTACAATTTTGTCGTCATTTCTTGAAACACAGCTTCAGTCTGCAACAATAAATCTAAAAGAAATAAAACCAAATATATGAACAATTTAAGACAATACTGTATAAATAAATAAAAGAGAAGAAAATTGAAAAAGAAGAAGAACCAACTTGCAAATCATACTGAGATAATGTCACTAAAATTAGTAACACTGTCTTCGGGGATGAATTGGCTTTGTACAGGCTTTAAACTCTAACAATAGTAGATCCAGGGCAGCGAGAAAAGAAAATATTTAACCATGCATGAAATTGCTTTAGAGATTGATATCTAAAATGGCTAAAACTCTAGAGCTTCACTAGGGCCAGTTTCTACTGAATATCGAGAAAGAAACGTTTCCCTTATCATTGGTTGATTATTTGATTAGCAATAAGTTGCAACTACATTTTGACTCCACATGAAACGGATACCAGGATTATACTCTACATATACATGACGTAACAATCACCCAGAAAGCAATTTAAAATTACCAATAAAAGCTTTAATTTAAAAAAATATTTTCGCGCTACTACCGAGATACAAACAATGATGATTCATCCTATTCGAATACTAGCAGCTTAACAATTCTATTAGTACTTAGTTGACCTTAGGTCAAATTAGGCCGCTATTTATGTTGCAGCTAAAAACTATCCCACAAAAACGGTTCTTTTGTTCAAAGAACAGTTCCTTGGTGTTCACAGCACGGTATTGATTCTGTACCAAAGAAAGGTTCTTTGGGACACCAAAAAGAACCATTCTTTTTTGTGGGGTCCGTTTCTACTGCCACAAAGAACCGTTCTTAAAAAGAATGATTCTTAAGAATGGTTCTTTCTCATCAGTAGAAACAAGCCCTAAGCCCACAGATAGGGAAGGAAGATCCAACCCAAACCCTCCAACATGGACCATAGGTATTGGATTGGTGCTTTGCATCTCCCTGCAGAAAAATCTTGGCCTTGTCCCTTATGTTTTGGATATACTTTTCTTGGTAGACAGTAAGGAGGATTGTTTTGATTAATCCTAATTAAGCAACACAAATACAGAATCAATTTAAAGTATCCAAGATAGATAATATAATTCGGAATCTTCTTGCACCATTTGCCATCCGAAATGTTTCATCAACAAAATTGATAAATCATTGCAAGATAGACAAATAAAAAATAAAATTAGAGATCTAAATTTAAACTTAAACAGTAACAATAAAAACATATTCAGACCATACAGACACATTTGAAAAATTAAGTCCTACTGGAACGTAACTACATACTTACCACTCTATGCTATTAATGTGTGCTTATAAGCTCTGCCACTATTCTACAATAAGTCCCCCTTTCTTTCTTGGTTGAGTGGTTCTTAATTAAGTATTCTTTCGCATTTTGAATAATCTGCTTTCGAAAACTGACATCTTGTCTTAAACACTTTGCATATTGTATGAATTCCTTGAAGGGTAAAAGACAAGAAATCACCAAGAAGTATTAACCAAAACTATTGAACATAAATAAGATTTAAACAGTATATCATTATTTCAATACACTTGAGACTAACTTTACACACAACTGTTACTGTGTATAGGAATCAAAACAAATAAAACCATATTATTTAATGTATGATTAAATCTGTATCCATCGGAAAAAACCTGCAAGATTGTTTACAAGGCATCAAGATGTGGATTAAAATATCAAATTTATAAGAAATTGCAGAAATTATATGAATAAAAACAAATAAAACCATATTTAATTTAGATATAAAATATAAATTTTTTGTGAAATTACTGAAATTATAGGAATCAAAGCAAATAATAAAACCATATACAATTTAGACATAAAATATCAGACTTTTGTGTAATTGCAAACATTATACGAATAAAAACACCATCATGTTTTATGTGGTAAATATCTCTGATTTGTCCATATATGGGTGTGATAATATGTCATCAGCATGGGCATATCACTCATCTTTGTCGAATAAAACGTGACAGTGTGGAGGGAGTTTTATGTTCCTTCAATATTTTCTATAGAATACTCTAGACTCCAACATCACACTCACAATGCAATGCTAACATAACCATTAAAGAAAAACATTCTAAAAACAGAGTCTCCTTGACACTCTGCATGGATAACTTTATCTTTATTATCATCAGAGTCGAGTTTATGAACTTCAAAATGTAATTAGAATGTGGCAGTTAGCAAGAGTCGATAGCAAACTGACATAATCTCTTTGTTTATGAGCTTATAATGAACAGATATAAGGATTCTTTAAAATGCTGTCTTTATAAAAAGTGCACAGAAACCAGGCTCATTTATTTCCCATTACTTAAAGTGCATGCATATGTTTTCTCAGATTTTTCACCTTTAAAAAAGGGATTTTAAAATAATTGATACTGGAACACAGAAGTAATACTATCAAGTGAGACGTAACATGGAAAAATTTGACTTTGAATCGAAGGCCTACGCACACGTTGTATGACTGTCGGCCGTTGAATTCATCCCTACTCTCTGTTATCGCTCAGTGACGCAATGCCATCTGTTGATATCAGACCGAGGGGACCATCATTAAAAAATTTTCATTTTACACACCTCATTGTCGCAGTGTGTGCCCGGCTTAGAGGCTGGCGAGTTTTGAGCTTGCTGTAGGATTTTATTTGTAGGATGCATTGTGTAGGTTCATATCAATTCATTGTCCAATACAACAACTAATATGTGATAGAGGTACAGTAGGAACATTGTTGGTGACCAAAAAGAACTGTTTAACAATGCTCAGATTAATCTAAACCGAGATCAAAAAGGAAAATTCATTTCTCCTTAAGAATGGTTGCGATAGGAGTATTCTTCTTCACCCAGTGAGGTTCAGAGTGCAGATTTGTATTTAAAAAAAACAAAAAAACGATACCACTGACCACAACATTTTGTGAATGAATTCTGGTTTTGATGGAAAGGAGAATATTTACAGGATCTTAAATTTTCGTTCAAAATGGAATCGCCCTCGACGAAATCTTAGTAAAGACGATATTGTGATTATTAAAGATGATAACTTGCACGCAACTAATGGAACCTTGCTATAGTAGTTGATGTATTTCCTGATATAAATGGACACATGCGAAAAGTAAAATAAATTGTAGGTGAACTGGTCGGCAATTAGATGGAAAAGGCAAGGGAACAATATATCTAGGCCAATCCACAAATTAGTTTGCTGCAAGAAGTTTAAAAGGGCAATTCCTCATTGGGAGCATTTAAAAGTAATGTTTTTGTTTGTAAGTGCACTTTCAAACAGGTTTCAAGCAAAAGTAATTTGCATTTTTTTGATAATACTGTAAACATGTAATGCTTCAAATGTACTGTTAAATTTGTGTAAGAATCGGTTTATTGGTATTTGTATTGAGAAATTACTGCAAGTTGTTACCATGTTATCGTAACTGTGTAAATGAACATGTTAAAGATGCAATGTGTGTCATGAGTTAGAAACAAATAAAACATCTACTTTTATATTTGAACTGCCTAATTTGTATTTTAAGTGAGTTATTAAGTCGTAAGTTTTAATTTATTTTTTTGAGATTGTTTCTGATTTTCATTTGGCAGACAGTTCATCTTTAAATAGTATAGGCATATTAATAATAAAGTAATAATTGCATAACTGCTTTATAAGCTGCAAACGCAAACATTACATCACACGCCACTGCAGCTGTCTCTTATACACATCTAGATGTGTATAAGAGACAGATAATGAACAGATATAAGGATTCTTTAAAATGCTGTCTTTATAAAAAGTGCACAGAAACCAGGCTCATTTATTTCCCATTACTTAAAGTGCATGCATATGTTTTCTCAGATTTTTCACCTTTAAAAAAGGGATTTTAAAATAATTGATACTGGAACACAGAAGTAATACTATCAAGTGAGACGTAACATGGAAAAATTTGACTTTGAATCGAAGGCCTACGCACACGTTGTATGACTGTCGGCCGTTGAATTCATCCCTACTCTCTGTTATCGCTCAGTGACGCAATGCCATCTGTTGATATCAGACCGAGGGGACCATCATTAAAAAATTTTCATTTTACACACCTCATTGTCGCAGTGTGTGCCCGGCTTAGAGGCTGGCGAGTTTTGAGCTTGCTGTAGGATTTTATTTGTAGGATGCATTGTGTAGGTTCATATCAATTCATTGTCCAATACAACAACTAATATGTGATAGAGGTACAGTAGGAACATTGTTGGTGACCAAAAAGAACTGTTTAACAATGCTCAGATTAATCTAAACCGAGATCAAAAAGGAAAATTCATTTCTCCTTAAGAATGGTTGCGATAGGAGTATTCTTCTTCACCCAGTGAGGTTCAGAGTGCAGATTTGTATTTAAAAAAAACAAAAAAACGATACCACTGACCACAACATTTTGTGAATGAATTCTGGTTTTGATGGAAAGGAGAATATTTACAGGATCTTAAATTTTCGTTCAAAATGGAATCGCCCTCGACGAAATCTTAGTAAAGACGATATTGTGATTATTAAAGATGATAACTTGCACGCAACTAATGGAACCTTGCTATAGTAGTTGATGTATTCCCTGATATAAATGGACACATGCGAAAAGTAAAATAAATTGTAGGTGAACTGGTCGGCAATTAGATGCAAAAGGCAAGGGAACGAAATATCTAGGCCAATCCACAAATAAAGCAATTCCTCATCGGGAGCATTTAAAAGTAATGTTTTTGTTTGTAAGTGCTCTTTCAAACAGGTTCCAAGCAAAAGTAATTTGCATTTGTTTGATAATACTGTAAACCTGTAATGCTTTAAATGTACTGTTAAATTTGTGTAAGAATCAGTTTATTGGTATTTGTATTGAGAAATTACTGCAAGTTGTTACCATGTTATCGTAACTGTGTAAATGAACATGATATGTTAAAGATGCAATGTGTGTCATGAGTCAGAAACAAATAAAACATCTACTTTTATATTTGAACTGCCTAATTTGTATTTTAAGTGAGTTATTAAATCGTAAGTTTTAATTTATTTTTTTTGAGATTGTTTCTGATTTTCTTTTGACAGACAGTTCATCTTTAAATAGTATAGGCATATTAATAATACAGTAATAATTAATAAAAAATAATAATAATATTGAGTAACATATTTGTTTAAATTAAACTTCAGCATAAAATTTAAATTAACTTTAAAATTTTATACATGTCATATATGCAAAACTAGCATTCTGAACGAGTGTGGCATAACTGCTTTATAAGCTGCAAACGCAAACATTACATCACACGCCACTGCAGCATTAATGTGAATAGGCCAAGTTTTCACGGAACTGATAAATGGTAGAAATAAAACTGAAGTTCCTGTCAAAGCCTTGGACATTGTGTTTTACTATGTGTGTTTAGACTCAATCAGCCTCAAGGTAGCCTAACATGAAGCACTTCCGTGAAAATTGTCTTGCTACATTACAGCTACACAAATTACCGTAAAACCTTAAATAGAAACCCTGACTCCTTTTTTTTTTTTGTGAATTTTGGATGGGCTTCTTTTCGAGATGGGCTTTTTTTCGAAGCTACTTTTGCTAAGTAAAACTTATTTTCCAAAATGAATTATGTAAATTGAATTAAATAAATAGGGCCTCTGTAACATCAGTTTGTATCATAGAGTGTATCAACCGGCATTAAATCACCTAAACTACTGTATAAAGCAAGCATGTTTTAAATTTGTTCTGTCTCTTTGAAATTCATGTACAGTGTATGTACTGCACTATTTCAAAAAGAAGCCCATGCTTGCTTGAAAAGAAGCCCATGGGCCTCTTTTTGAGATGGGCTTCTTTTCAAGTCTACTTTTGCAAAGGAAAGGGGGGGGGCTTCAATTGAAGATGGGCTTCTTCTCAATATGCCAAAAACAATTCACATCTTGATGCCTTGTAAACAATCTTATGGGCTTTTTTCAATTACGATGGATAAAGATTTAATCATACATAATACAGAGCCTCCTCTCCCCCTGGGGAATATTCCCAGTATATAGTAGAGCCTTAGGAATGAGGGCAGTGTCGATGGAAATTAGCAACGCAATTAGACTACTGGTAATAAAAGGTCAATGAAGCATGATGTACAGAGCCGTAAGAGTAAGAAATGTTGCTGGTGGCAATTACACACACATTACAACACATGGTAACACATGCCTGTTTAATGACTATAACCCATATTGCATAACGATGCTGACACCTAGAAAACTCAGATCAAGTCTTCTCTACGATCAAGCACAACACTTAGCGTCACGTTCATTAAAGACGTGCCTTAATGATGTATCTGTCTCGTTCTAATAAAAATGACATAAGCAGTCGCAGCGTCTGAGAGTCGGAGTGTGGAAGAACAAACAGAGCCGGACCAAACAGTGATTAGTGGTAATGAGACTATATGGATTAAAAGTTTGCCAAGAAATTAGAAGCAATTGGGAAGGTTGATGTGGAGCTGACCTACATTAAGATTATAGAGGGCGGTAGGGTGATTCTTTTAACCATCTACTTGTGCTAAAATGTTTGCCCTTTTTACATATTTTATAAACATTTTTTGAGTGGGCAAGACTTACAGAACAGAACAAGACAAATTACAGGGGTCCATTAACCATTTATATTACTTTAAATAGTGTTTACTATCACCAAATAAGTTTTTAGCATTAAATGTAATTAATGACATTTTTTACAGATACAGTAGTCCTTGATTCATATCATTAGTAATTATTTTACTGAGTGAGATCAATGAGATCAACAATTAGCTTGCTGTCCCAAATCGCCATTTAATAATCTTAATCCTACCAAAAATTTAAATATATATATTGTGACCAATCTCATCAATAATCTTTATTGCATTAAAAACAGGTATTTCAATATTTTTATAGAATTTTTATTCAGCCCATATTTATAAGGTTTATAGTATGGAAGGACTAAGAATAAGATACAGTACTTTAAATAATGTAATTGATATTCTTGAAAATCACTAAAGAAACAAAGAATATTTTCTCTAAGCACTTGTGACCCTACAGATACCTTAAATCATTTCATAAAAATTGTATAAGAGCACTATATGTGGCAAAGACAAGCCAAATCAGTCACGATTTTGAGTTATTAAAACAGGGTTAAAGAGTAAAATAAGAGCTATCAAATGGTAAAAAAAATCATTAAAATCCCACATTTCATTATGAAGTTACAGGCATTTGAACATACAGCTGTTTAAAGAACAATATATGAGAAATCAGCCTTCAAAGTTTATGATTTTGGGCATTTCTCATGCAGAAACTATCATCAAATCCTTAAAAAGTGTTATTTTAACATTGAAAATGGGGAAAATAACAGCATAGTATGATGTATAGATATATAAAGCTTAGTTTAGTACAATAAAATAGATTTTTTTAAATTTGACAATCCAGCATGTTTTTGCCATTTTTTTCTGAAACATGATTTGCGACGAGTGACTGGTTTGGCTTGTCTTTGCCACATACATGCTCAGATCATTATAAATATAGTTATTACTGTCATTATTATTATTTATTGCTGTTTTTGCCTTCTGCACACTTACTTAGTGTATATAGTTTAAATAAGCAATTTATTATAGTAGCTGACACTTGTACAGGGAAAATGTCCCTTTGTTGGCTACCATCTCATTTGAGAAAAATAAAACTATGAATTATGAATTATTACCATTGGGGTGTTAAACAACAGACCAGTCTCGCCGTGGGTAATAATTGCTTTGTTTCCTGGTATATCTCTTGCTATAACTGGCACTTGTAAATCCATAGCCTACAAAAATTGTAATCATGAAGTTATAATATTGAGAGAATTTAAACTGGGGCCTGTTGCCATGCAGGTTTTATGATACTGGTTAACCCCCTTTTCTAGCAAACCCTCCCCCCCTCTTTTATGGCAAACCACCCTCCTCAAATTCCTCGAACGAGTCCTCCAATCCAACTGATGCACTGCAGTCCCACCCAGACTCAGACAGAATATTTTGCTGTTTTGAATTTACCTATCATCATTTATCTATTGATTTTTTGTCGTTTCGCGTGATTTTAATCATGTCAATTCACAGAAAATAATATTTTCTCTTAGCACCTCCTGAAATTATGTGCAGACCTTTTTCAAACATAACTGCTTTTATAGCATCATTTAGACCCACCTATAAAACACAAAAAATCACTCTGACTTTGTAGCCCCCAACTCCACCGGGATTTCACTCCTTCCCCTAGCCGGGGCCCTTCGACAGGCCCCTGGACACCACGCCAAGAAAACTCCCTTGGAAGAACCTGGCTATGGGCCTGAAACTTGTCAACGAATATTTAGCGGACAAGTTGTCTACTGTGAGTATTACTGTTGTTCCCACACCAATGCAGTGCATGCTACTGTGAAACAATTTACTTGTTTTAAGCTACATTCACACTCTCAACTTTTATGTGACAAACATCTGTGATTTGCCCATATATAGGCATGCAATATGATGTCATATCATACCCATATATGGGCATGCAATATGATGATGTCATATCATACCCATATATGGGCAAATCAGAAATTTGTCAGATAAAACTTGATAATATGATGAAAGATGTTCTATATGCTAAGTATTGCTCTGTCTCTTATACACATCTAGATGTGTATAAGAGACAGGTATATAGTAGAGCCTTAGGAATGAGGGCAGTGTCGATGGAAATTAGCAACGCAATTAGACTACTGGTAATAAAAGGTCAATGAAGCATGATGTACAGAGCCGTAAGAGTAAGAAATGTTGCTGGTGGCAATTACACACACATTACAACACATGGTAACACATGCCTGTTTAATGACTATAACCCATATTCCATAACGATGCTGACACCTAGAAAACTCAGATCAAGTCTTCTCTACGATCAAGCACAACACTTAGCGTCACGTTCATTAAAGACGTGCCTTAATGATGTATCTGTCTCGTTCTAATAAAAATGACATAAGCAGTCGCAGCGTCTGTTTGTCGTTTCATGTGATTTTAATCATGTCAATTCACAGAAAATAATATTTTCTCTTAGCACCTCCTGAAATTATGTGCAGACCTTTTTCAAACATAACTGCTTTTATAGCATCATTTAGACCCACCTATAAAACACAAAAAATCACTCTGACTTTGTAGCCCCCAACTCCACCGGGATTTCACTCCTTCCCCTAGCCGGGGCCCTTCGACAGGCCCCTGGACACCACGCCAAGAAAACTCCCTTGGAAGAACCTGGCTATGGGCCTGAAACTTGTCAACGAATATTTAGCGGACAAGTTGTCTACTGTGAGTATTACTGTTGTTCCCACACCAATGCAGTGCATGCTACTGTGAAACAATTTACTTGTTTTAAGCTACATTCACACTCTCAACTTTTATGTGACAAACATCTGTGATTTGCCCATATATAGGCATGCAATATGATGTCATATCATACCCATATATGGGCATGCAATATGATGATGTCATACCATACCCATATATGGGCATGCAATATGATGATGTCATACCATGCCCATATATGGGCAAATCAGAAATTTGTCACATAAAACTTGATAATATGGACGAGTTTAAAGATGTTCTATATGCTAAGTACTGCTAGTTGTTGCATTGTTAAATAAAATGAAGATAATTAAGTAATTTAATAAGCTTACTTCTAATATAGTAGATGACATTCCTTCACTTTGAGATGAATTGAGCAAAGCATAGGACTGCTTGATTGCAGTGTGAGCATGTGCAAGGGACATCTCAGGTAGCAAATACACACCTGGTAAACTGAAAGAACAATTTAAAAAGGGTCATATCAGAACATTCAGGGATCAGTTGCTCATGTGAAAAATAAAATGATAGCACTGGAAATGCTGAGTTAGCATAGCTGTATTAAGCAATTACTACAGCTCTATACTATACACTAGATGAACATATTAATACAATGTTTAGATTACTTACTTAAGGTTGAGCATGCTAAGATTAATTCATGAAATATGCCTAAGGCCTGTATTAATCTAATGTAAGTATAATCATTTCCTTTAATGTATGAAAATTGTTAAAATCAAAAGTGACTTTCACTGGTTTACTGATATGCAAAAATGTTTGAATTTTGAATTATCATTCACTGAACATGCTCCTCCTTATCAGTCTTCATCCATCATACTACAATTTTCTATACACTCGATCTCAACCTTTATTTCACTCGTACACTGTTGCTTGATGAGGAGAGTCAAACACCTTCAGGTTATCTGTCCCACAATAATGCACAATCGTTATTTTTTATCAAGCTCTACACAAATATTAAAGTTGCACTACTATTCACCTGTTGACAACTTGCTTCACTTGATCTGAATATGTTCCATCTAGCTCTGGCCCAGCTATCACCAGATGAACTGCATTCTCTTCAAGGTGCCACTCTACAGGAAAGTGATGCAAAAAAGAACCAGAATATAGTATCAGCAAACTGTCAATATAAAAGTACTGTTACAATTATTCACTAGTCCATGTATAGCTTTATTTTATACTAAAAAAATTTTCAAATTTGTTACTTATGGCAAATTCAGACAGCGTTGTACAACATATTCCAGCATGATTTGTTGATATGTCTGCGTCGTGGACATTCGCATCATTACAACAACCTAAGGACTGATCTCAATGATAAATACTGTCCAACCCTTTACTAAGTTGTGTGCCCATTGTGTAAAATATGAAGAAACTGAGACCCTGATCTGTTTCACTACTGTACCTCCCCCTGTGATTTGCAATAAGACATAACATTATAAATTTGCTTAAATTACCTGAAAATGCTCGAGTGAGGTAAAGCACATCCTTCACAGGTCTTAGTCCAGCTAAGAGCAAGAAAATGACGACTTCAGCATGTATGTTGCAGCTATTCTGAAGGTGTTGAACAAAATTAAAGGAACCATCAGGTGAGGTCTTAACAGCTGGAAAAAATACACAGATGAAGCTAATTCATTGCACCTCAGAAACAGAAAAAGATAACCTATGGATATGTCTGTGTTAACTATGAGTCTGTCCACACATCCATCCATCTTCCTCTATGTCCATATGTCCCTATCTATTGGTATTTATTTATTTCATGTATTAATTAATTAATTAAATTATTCATTCAATCGTTCATATTTTCATTTACTCCCTTACTAATTCATTCATCAGTCTATCTGTCTATGCAATTATTCATTCATTCATTTACTCATTCATTTATACCAAACAATAAGAGAAATGAATAAAATTTGCAGCATGTTTGTCCATTCAGTTCCTC